TCTCAAGACAAATCTCATGAAAAGGCATCCATTTCTTAGTCACAGGCAAGAACAAAGGTGGCAGCACTTGGCACGAATGCCGGAATGGAATCCCCACGATCTCGTCGGGGAGAGGCTTGATCCTCCTGGCATACTCGAAAACTCCCTTCTTTCCCTTGATCTTCCAGCTGAGATCATCGCCGCCAAGCTTGTAGACGGGCGCTCTCCTCTGGAGCCGGTGCTTGGAAGCGTACATGATCGCCAGGGACGATCGCAGGACAAACGCCAGGAACACCGTGATCTTCTTGCGGTTGATCGCCAGGCGATAGAAGCCGGCCAGGAGATGGAGGAGATCCGAGACCTGGAGGTTGGCGTCCTCCTGGCGCGCCTTGAGCAGCCGCAAGCACGGATGGATCTTCATCCTCTGCCCGGCCGGGAGCTCCAGGATCTTCAATCGCGCCAGGCTCTCCACGCAATGCTTCATGCTGGCCACCAGCCGGATCTTCTGCTTGCTCACCTCCCGCGAGTTCTCTCGGCTCCGAGGAATTCGATGCTCGAGGGCCGCGTCGGCGCTGGCCTGGATCGTGTGAGCCAGGAATGGAACCTTTTGCGAGAGGTGGAAGATCTCCGGGAAGAGCTCGAGCTTGAGCTTGTCGCGGCAAAACTCGCGGAGCTTGGCTTCCATCGCGACGATCTCCTCGTCGGCGCCTTTGATCCCCAGGAGAAAATGCCCGGCGTAGCGAACGTACTCCATCGCCTGGCCCTGCCCCTGCGCGGCGTCGAATTCCTCGATCTCGCGCTCCACGAATCGATCGAGCTCGTCCAGGACGATGTTGAGCAGCAGCGGGCTCAAGATCTTGCAGCTCCCCCAGTGTGGCGAGTTCTTCCCCTCGATCGGTCCCATGGCGAGGAAGCACTTGAGCCAGAATGGTCGATCCTTCTCCCTCGTCAGGCGATGGATCTCTTGCTCCATCACTCGCCACTTCTTCTTCTTGGAGAGGAAGTACTCCTCCGGGACGATGGTGTCTCTCGTCTCCACCGAGAGGCCATCCCTGACGAGCTTGACGATCAACTCGTCCTGGACGACGCGAGAGAAGATCTCCATCGCCACCTCCAGCTCCAGGCTCTCGAGGATCGACGTCTTGGCGGTGATGAACCACGTACACTCTTGGAAGCTGCCAGTGATGTACTTGAGCGCTGTCATCGCTGTTCTTCCGGGCCGAAACGCGAAGGATCGATGCGAGAACCGCGCCTCAAACACGGGCTCCAAGATCATGAGAAGAACTTCCTGGACTACGCGATCCTGGAGCTCGGGAAGCTTGGTCGGGGAGAGGAACGCTGGAGTGAGATAGAGCGTGCCGGTGCCGCCCCAATCGTATCGCTGCGAGAGCACCGCTTCGCGCAGTGGATCCAGCTGCGCGGCCAGCTTGGGATGGAGGGGGCGATTCTTGGGGACGAAGAAATCCAGCGCCCGGCACGATCGCCAGTAGGCCATCTCCCACAAGACCTTGCTCTCCATGGCGCTGGACGCGTTCTTGAGGATCGAGTGCCTGTCCTGGAAGCCCTGGATCCAGTGCTCACCGCATAGCCGTGCGCAATCGCTCGCCCATCCGCCATCTTTGCCCTGAGAATGATCGATCCAGCGATGGCGGGATTGACGCGCATACCTGCGGCACTGGAATGGAGGTGCGAAAGCTCGATTCGTCGGCCGCATTCCGGGGTCTGGCATGGAAATGCTTAAACCCTAGAAACATTTAGAAAGACGAAAATATATCACATAGTAAGAGTCTGCAGAAGCTTGCATAGCTTGTCGCTTTGGCCGAGTGGTTAAGGCGTGTGCCTGCTAAGTACATGGGGTTTCCCCGCGAGAGTTCGAATCTCTCAGGCGACGAGTTCTTTTATTCTTTTTTGCTTTGCTTAAGCAAACAGAATATGCTTGGAATTCTTTTTTGAAGATTATGCTTGGATATTCTAAAATAAACAGTTGTTACTTATTTAAATTAATTTTGTATTTATGATTTATAAACATGTTATAAACTTTTTTAGTATATTTTTTTTATTCTACCAATGCAATAAAATTAAACAAACATGCTTATATTTTATCAATTAGAATAACACTGCTCTTAAGCAAACCAAACGTAATTTTTTTTCTTTTTTATGTACTATTTTCTATTGCTAAACACGATGCATGCAAAGCTCAATAATATTCGAGAGATTTTTGCCTCAAAAAATGAATAATAATCAAGATTTACAAAATTGGCAGGCTTTCTTAGCAGAAAATCGCTTCCCTGGAACAAAAACACTGCGTGTAAGTTACCACCATAGAACGATTTTCGTCATACCTTCGCGGATAAGTTTACATTCGCTCCTTGCAGCAAATTCTTCCAGGAGGGATTTCGTCCTATCGTACTTTTACAGTGGCAGCAGCCGCTGCAGTAGCGGAAGGAACAGCGGCCACAGCATCCGGATTTGGAGAGCTCTTGTGCTGCGAAAAAAAAGAGAGAAGAATCAATCGATACGCTGAGCAAAGAACTAAGGATTTCTCCGTGAATACCTTCTTCTTTTTGTGCTTGTGACCATCGCCTTCCTCCTCTTCACCCTCATGCCGTCGCTTCTAAGATCATCCACTTTGTAGTTACATACCACGAAGAAGAGAAGAGCTAGCCGAGAGTTACCTTCTTCTTATGCTTCCTTTTTTCTTCGCCATTCTCTCCCTTTGCATCTTTGTCCCTGTGCTTCTCCTTACGCTTCTCCTTGTCCTTCTCTTTGTCTTTGTCCTTGTGCTTGTGTTTATCCTTGTGCTTGTGTTTCTTGTGCTTCCTTCTCTCCTCATCTTTCGTCTTTCCAATCGTTGGTTGCCCTCGATCGGCCTGGCCGAGCCACACATTCAGCCAAGAACACAAAGAAAGAACTCTAAAGCTTACTTCTGGCAGAGAAATTGGCCCACTTTCTCGAAACGTGAAACATCGTCTCAGCGTCTCCAGATCAAAAGGACGGATGTCCACCGGGAAAGCGTCGCTGGGCGATGGTCTGAGCAATTGCCCAAGCTCCATCCCATCGCCTTTGCGAATCTCCATGTCTCCGACCACGTCCCGGAGGTACTTGGACTCGGCAATTGACGCTGGGAAGGATTTCTTCGTGTATGTCTCGTAGTGCTCGCGGAGGCCATAGTGCGTGATCAAATCCACAGCACCGGTGAGCTCTCGCGGTCCTACAGTAGAGCAAAAGAGCGTAAGCAAAGGATCGCGCTCACGCTCTCGTACAAAAACCCTAGAGAAGGAGAGAGGAAGAATCACTGACTTGGTCCGGGTTTGAGAAGCTTGAATGCTCCACCGCCTTCATTGCTACTGCTCACTGCTCCAGCGGCGATCCCAGCAGCTCCAGCGCCTCCGGAAGCCATCGCCATATCTCCGACTAGTGTTAGCCCTAGAATAAGGGGAAATTTCTAGGGTTTATCGAGGAGATGCCCAAGAGAAGAAGGCGATCGAACGTTTCCTCGATTGCGCAGGCTGGGGAGGTTGATCGATCGCGCGCTTTGCTCTCACTCCCTGGATTGATCGATTGCAGGAGGTAAAGGAGCAGCATTGTGAGGAAGTAGAGCGAGTGCTTGAAACCGCTGGCGCCGCCCCTGTGGATGCCGGCGAAAATGTGACGCCATCGCGAAAAGAAGCCTCTTCCAGCAAGAGATCTGCCAAAGCAATTTCTGATGTCCGTGTGGTCGATGAGCAAGTAAGCCGGGATATTTCCTCCTGCATTCTCGATCTAATCTCCTCTTTTCTTCTTTTCTTTCCAGGAATTGCGAGCGGCTTTGGCACAGCTCGTTCCAAAGCACCAGGTGGAGCAAGCACGCCTTCTCGACTCCTATAAAGAATCTTATCCACACTGGTTCTTTCAGCTGAAGTTGCTAGTTATGTTTCTGGATGAGATTCTTCTCTAACTCTTTCGTTTTCCTAGATGCGGTTTTGGACTTTTGATGTATGGATTTGGATCCAAGAGGCAGCTTCTTGAGGATTTTGGATCCACAGCATTGACTGATGGTGCTGCTGTTGTGGTAAATGGCTTTCTTCCAACGATCAACTTCAAACAGGTAGCTTCTTTCTAGAGCTTATCAAGACTTTTGCAGCAAATCTTTGCCAGGTTTTGCGTACTTTGAAGCAAAGTTTGTATGGAAGCTCGGGCACGACGAGTGCCACAAGCGTGGAAGACATGGTGGCCTTACTCTCTGGCTATCAGGGTGACTCGATCGTTTATATCATCGTTCACAGCATCGATGGTCCTGGTCTGAGAGATGGCGCTACGCAGCAGCAGCTTGCCAAGCTAGCTTCGTGCTCGCATTTCCGGATAGTTTCTTCCATCGACAGCATCAATGGTCCATTATGTAAGTGAATCTTTTCCTCGTTTTGGTTTTCATGCAACGTTGTGTTTGTTCTTTGTCCAGTGTGGGATAAACGCATGGCGAACACGCAGTTCAATTGGTGGTGGCATCACACCCCGACTTACGCTGCTTACGATGCCGAGGCCTCTCACGTTCCGCTACTGCTTTCTTCCATGGGGACCAGCAAGAGCGTCCGCAGTGCACTGCTTGTTTTACAAAGCTTGACAACGAATGCTCAGAGCGTCTTCAAGGTTCTAGCCGACCACCAGCTCGCAAACCCGGAGGACGAAGGTGGGCTCTTTTTCTAGTATTCTCGTCCTGATGGCGTTTAGGAAACCAGGAATGTCGCAGTACCAGCTCTACAACAAATGCAGGGAGCGTTTCCTGGTGAGCAGCGAGCTGACACTCCGAGCTCACCTCACGGAGTTCCGAGACCACCAGCTCGTTCGCTGTAAGAAAGGCTCAAACGGACAGGAGTGCTTGCAGATCACTCTATCAAACGATGCTCTAGCGAAGATGCTGGAAAATCTGTGTCCGAGCTAGCACAGCCAGCAAAAAGCATCGATCCAGCTTCATCATTCCCGGGAATCCGGTAAGTCATCTCCTTTAGAGCGCTCCTTTGTGATTTTTCTTCTCAACAGGGAAAGACCACTGCCACGGGACGCCGTTGGATACGGCATCTATCCAACGGCCCACGACTGTTCTCATTTTTTTTAACGAACTGTGGGAAGAGGCGCGCATGCTGGTCCTCGAAGAAACGGCGCAACCGCTAGCTAGCTGCTGCCAAAAGCAAAAGAAAAAGAGAAAAAAAAAGAGTCCTGCGAAACCAGCAGCAGCCTACACTGGAAGATCCAGCTCGCCGAATCGAAGCTCCAGCTTTGAGCTCAGGAGAAATCGAGGTGAGTGGAAAGTCTCCTTCTCGAGCTTGCATTCGCCGGTACGCTGAGGAACTCACTCACTCACTCTACTCTCTTGCTTGTAGCTGCCGGGAGCTGAGCTCAATTCCCGGAGAGCTCATCGCGCTTGCCCTAGGGAGCTCCGGGATTTGTTTCAGCTGAATTCGGTTGAGAAACGAAGGGAGCTGGACAAGTCGATGATGGATTTCCTAAGCTTGGTGGAGGCCCCCCGGAGCCAGGCAGCTAGCATCAACGTTAGCAGCGATACCACCACCAACGAGAAGAACACGGATATGGAGGTGGAGATGGTCGTGGAGGAGGAAGAGGAGGAGGATAAGAGCAAGCTGGGAGCTCAGGTCAATGGCCAGTTTAGCGAGCTCGTCGATATAGACTTGCATTGCGACGAGGACCTCGGGCGTGATTGGTCACCTCCAAGGAACCGTCCTCCTCCGGCTCCTGTTCTTCCTCAGCTTCTTCAAGCCAAGCCGGCTCGATCAGTTGAGGACGACAGTAGCATCCAAGTGAAGGTGATCGAGGAAGTTGTGATCACGAGCAGCAGCACCGTGAAGTCGTCCGGAGAAGAAGGTGGAGGCGACAAAGATTGTCTTGTGGTGACGAAAGCGAGCTCGGACGAAGAGGTGAATGTCAACAGCAGTAGCAACACGGGCGTGCAAGAAGTTGTCGTGAACTCTTCACAGGTCGCGGTAGTGGAAGATCACAGCAGCAGCAAGGAGCTGCAAAAGAAGGAGCATTCACTCTACGCTCTACGGAGGAACCCGAAGCGCAGCCGGAGATTCATAGACCAGGAGTATGCTCTCGACATCCTTCCAACTTCTGGGAGCTCGTCATTTCATCCAATCTCGTCGCCAGTAACTCCTGGCGGCTGCGGAGCAGGAGCAGTGGCGACTCCAAAGAAGAACTCCAGCGCCGCTACCGTCAACAACGCAAACTCCAACTCTTCCATCTTTGCGGACAAAGCAAGAGCTTGTACCGAGTGTGGCAAGGAGTTCTCGTCGTGGAAGGCGCTGTTTGGACACATGAGGTGCCATCCAGAGCGAGAATGGCGGGGAATCCAGCGGCCTGACAATCTCTCCGACTACAAACTATCCAAGTCAGGAAGCGTTCGCAGAAATTCCAGCAAGAAGTCGAGGCAAGCACCGCCGCCAGCAGCAGCACCGTCGTCCTTCCTGCTCGACGATGATCCAGACGACGAGCTCGAAGCTCTCTATATCAAAGTCGTGCCTTCGGATAACGAGAGTGATACGGAGAGCATCGAGGCGGCATATATCAATGGAAGCTGCAACAGCTCCGGAGGCTTTAGCAGCAAAGGGAAGATCATCACTGGGAAACGGTCCAAAAGACCGAGGCAGCCGCCAGCGGAGATCAAAGAGGAGCGAGACATGGCAAGGTGCTTGGTGATGCTCGCCTGCGCAGGACGAAAGTCGAACAGTAGCTTGGGATTTGAGGACGAAGATGAGGACGGAGAAGAAGAAGGAGCCGTGGAAGGTGGTCGACAAGAACATCAGGCAGAACAACGAGAAGAACACGAGGAAGACGATGGCGAAGAAGGCGCGGAGGAAGAAGACGATGAGGAAGAAGAAGAAGAGCTCGAGGACGAAGGAACTTCCACGACTAATAACAACGTAGTCGCGGACTCCACTGCCACGAACAACGCAGTAACTTCAACACCGGACAACGCAATGGTGGTGCATGAGAGGAGCATCGTGAGGAACTGCAGCGCGGTGAACTTTGGATCGTCCAACGAGATGATTGAAGATTTGGAGGACCTGGAAGAGGTCGGGATCGACGAGTCCAGCTTGGTGTGCTCTGCTGCGGAGCTCCTGGACCACGACTTTGATGGGATCAGGATGAAATACGAGTGCTCGACGTGCAAGAGGATCTTCAAGTCGCACCAGGCACTTGGGGGACACCGAGCGAGCCACAAGAAAGTTAAAGGATGCTTTGCAAAGACGAGCTTGAGCGGTGGCAGTGATGGAATCATCCAGCCGCAGCAACAGCAGCAGCTTCCATTCCAGCAGCAGCAGCAAGTGATCCTCCATCACCAAATTCATCAAGCTCATCAACTCCAAGCTCACCACCAAGCTTCCCAGCAGCAGGAAAGTGCCGAGGAGGACATCACCGACGAGGAGTTCTTGAGGTCCGAGGAGCAACTTTTGCCGCTAGACTTCCACCACCATCACCACCATCACCACCACCACCACCACAACCACAGCCACAGCCACATCCACCATCTCCCGCTGGCGAGCAGCTTTCGATTGAAGGACGAGTTTAGCTACAGCAGCAGGAAGATGAGCATCAAAGGCCACGAGTGCTCGATCTGCCACCGGGTTTTTACGTCGGGCCAAGCTCTCGGGGGACACAAGAGATGCCACTGGGGTGGGAGTGATCGTCCACTGTCGTCGGAGCCACCATCGCAGCAAGTAGTAGCGGTAACTTCTTCGATTGTGGCGACGACGATCGGAGCTCCAGCATCGAGTTTATTGCCAGCTCCAGCTCTAGTAGCAGCGGTTGTAAATCCAGTTCCAACTCTTCCAGCAGCGGCAGTGGCCCCTACTCCAGCAACAACAGCAACAGCTTTAGTTCCGGCTCCTCCAGTTCCAGCGGTGATTCCAGCGATGATCCCAGCAGCAGCGACGGTTGGCCGAGAAGAATTCGCAGCTGCGAGGGAGGAGTTTTTGGATCTGAATTTGCCGGCGCTGGTGGAAGAGGAAGAAGAGTGTGAGGACGAAGACGATGGCGAAGACGAGCTAGAAGATACTAGCTTTGTCAGTGTTCCAAGATGAGATAGTTAAAGATATAATCCTCCTTGGATAAAATCGCTTATTTGGTTTAGGGCTTTAGTATCTAGGCGCGCATTTCTAGCGTCTTCGCGATCGGCAATCCAGGGTTCTTGCGATCAGAGCGGCGGCAGCAGCAGCGATTGGCAATGGCGTGCAGGATTTCTGTGATTTCCAGGCATATTTCTTCGCCGCCGCTGGAACACCTCGACGATCTGGGGGTTCGTGTTGCGCCTGAGGTTCGATCGGCTCTTTCCAGTGGCGTCGGTGTGGTTGCACTGGAATCGACCATTGTATCGCATGGTATCGCGCTTGTTAATTTCCTCCGACTTCCATTCGAGTGATTTTCTTGCTCTTTGCCAGGAATGCCTTACCCGCAAAACTTCCATACAGCTCAAGAGGTTGAATCCATTGTGAGAGCGAATGGGGCCGTGCCGGCAACCATAGCCATCTTAGACGGTGTCCCATGCATTGGTATGCTTTTGTTTCGTTTTCTGGTTCTCTAACACAGCATGCATAGGCTTGAGCTTGGCGGAGCTCGAACGGCTTGCGAAGCTTGGTACCATGGTTTCAAAGACCGCTAGGCGCGACATTCCTTACGTCGTAAGCTCTTTTTTCACTTGTTCTCCACAGTTAGTGTTTTTCTTTCCCAGATTGCTCGTCGGGGAAACGGAGCAACCACTGTTTCAGCAACAATGTTTTTCGCTTCAAAGGTAGTTTCTACAGTGGGAAAAAGAGGAGTCTCTGATGGATTATGTTCCAGGCGGGAATCAAAGTGTTCGTAACTGGAGGTATTGGAGGAGTTCATCGACAGGGCGAGTCAAGTAAGGCCAATGTTCTTTCTTATGTCATACTTTTGTGTCTTCAACTTTGTTTTTATTAAGCTATGGACGTGTCCTCGGACTTGACAGAACTGGGTAAAACTCCAGTTGCGGTGGTTTGTGCAGGGGTAAAATCAATCCTTGACATTCCACGAACACTCGAATACCTGGTAAGACCATCGTATAGCGCACGAGTGTTTTAATATGAAACAATTTGCAGGAAACTCAAGGAGTGACGGTTGTTAGCTACTCAACTGATGAATTTCCTGCATTTTTTACTCCTAACAGTGGCTGCAAAGCACCTTGCCGAGCAGACAGCGTGGAGGAATGCGCAGACATCATAGGTAAGCTCTAGCCATCGTGGTTATCGATTCTAACTTGACACTGCAGAGGCAAACACGAAGCTTGGATTGGGTTCAGGCATTTTGATCGGGGTTCCAATACCCGCAGAGCATGCAGCAGCAGCTAAGAACGTGGAATCGGCCATACAATCGGCATTGCATGAAGCAGAGTACGTCTCAGTGACCTCTCTTGCTATTCCTACGTGTTTTTTTTTTTATAGGAGCAGAGGTATTGCCGGTAATTCTGTGACGCCATTCTTGCTCAAGCGCGTCAACGAGCTCACTGGAGGCGATTCATTGGCTGCAAGTATCCTTTTGTTTGGTAGTCCTCCTGTGGTAGTTTTTCTTTGCTACAATTGACAGATATCCAGCTCGTGAAGAATAATGCACTCGTTGGTGCGAAGATTGCAACGGCTCTGACAACAAGGCTGAGTCGCTTCACTAAATCGTCTTGACACTCGGCCCCGATTGGTGTAAATGCCATCCACAAAACGCGTACGTGAGAACACTGTTTCTTTTTCCCATCTGTTGGGTTCGCCACTCTTTGCCTGTTTCTTTATTTCTGTGCTTTCAACAGATTATACTTCCCGCGGCATGTCGCTGGGTAGTGGCAACGGACAAAACATCACAGCTGTTAATGCCAGACACGGAAAAACTAAACTACTTGAAAGTGAGGTACTTACGAGGTAGAGACGATCAACATCAACACGTTTATTGGTTTTGATTTTCGTCTTGCTGTGTTGGATTACAGATGGGCAACGAGCTCAGTTTTTCTCACGAGAAACTTCTTGCCACACAGCCAATCCTCTCTTGCCATTGGAGACTCGCTCGCGCAGAAGTTTCCTCCCATACCAACAACATATGGCGACGTTACTCTCTCTTGAGCTGGATCTTAGTAAGCCTCCAACTCATTCTTCTCCCGATCACGCGTTTATTCCGCGGCAATGGCTACATCCTATAAATCTCCATCACCACCCCAGTGTCAACCATTGCAAACTCCATCCCGTCTGCTACCAGTCTTCGAAGTTTCATCCATCCAAGCCTCTGATCATACAAGTCTTCTGTTCTTGCCAGGACTTCCGATCGAGCAATGGGTGCTCTCAAAGTCATTGCATTGCTGTTGTTGGTCGAGCTTGCGCTCTCTGCTCGTCTCCCACCAAAGTCAGATGTTTCTTTCTCTGAGAACTACTATGTCCGATGGGCCAACGATCATACGCGAGTCCTCAACGGTGGCACCGAAATGCAGCTTGTTCTCGACAAGGCATCAGGTAACAATCTCTCTTTCTTTCAAAGCTTCTCTTTTGCTGATCAAGTCCTGTTGCATGATAGGTGCTGGATTTGGGTCCCGCAGCAAATACTTGTTCGGTCATGTCAGCATGAAGATCAAGCTGGTTCCCAAAGACTCTGCTGGAACAGTGACGGCATTCTACATGTCATCCGAGACCGACAAGCACGACGAGATCGACTTTGAGTTCTTGGGGAACGTTTCCGGGCAGCCATACATCGTCCAGACCAACGTTTTCGCCAATGGCGTTGGAAACCGGGAGCAGCGACACTACCTCTGGTTCGACCCCACTCAGGACTTCCACAGCTACTCCTTCCTCTGGAACAAGCAGCAGATCATGTAAGTTAGCCCTCTATAGCTACTCGATCGATCATTGCTGAAACTGTGGTTTTGATCCCTCAGATTCTACGTGGACGATGTCCCTCTGCGTGTCCACAAGAATAACGAAGCCATTGGGATCCCATTCCCGAAGAGCCAGCCCATGGGGATCTACTCGAGTCTGTGGAATGGAGACGACTGGGCTACTCGCGGCGGGCTGGAGAAGATCAACTGGGATCACGCTCCATTCGTGGCGGCGTACAAGGGATTCAGCGTGGATGCTTGCGCCGGGGGCGTGGAGTCTTGCAGCGCTCCCAGGGGCAACTGGTGGGAGCAAAAGGCATTCCAGCGCACCGACAAGGAGACCAAGAGCAAGCTCAAGTGGGTCAAGGACAACTACATGATCTACAACTACTGCAGCGATAGCAAAAGATTTCCCACCACTCCAGCCGACTGTGGCCAGTTTTGAGAGCTTCCATGTACTTACATTCTTTTGTACAAAAAAACACACATTTTTTTTACCAGACTTTGCATGCTTCCTCCGTAAAATCATGCCATAGTTGCCTGGCTCTCATCGAAAATCGGTGCGAGATACCACGCGTAAGGAAGGCCTTTCTCCTCGGAGGAAGTGTTGTAAGAGGCATGCGTGATTTTTCGCCTTCTAAAGTATTCTCCCCATGCGTACTGTACTATGAACCTGCGGGAAGAAGAAAGTGTTTGTGAAAAGGCACGAGCTTGAATGAGAAAGTTTTTTTAAAGTACCACAAGACGATGGCGATCGCACAGAGGGAGATGAAGAGTATCGCTGTGACTTGGGATTCTCCAGAGTACTTGATCCATCCGATGACGATCATGCTCAGGAGGAAGAGAGAAACACCTGCGGCGGAAGAAAGCAAAGGATTTGGCAAGTGTTTTGCACGGCTTACCGAAAGAAAAGGAATGGAAAGCTTGCTGCCAGGTAGTCTCACATCTGCGTCGCCAGCAAGATCATGAGAGAGTGTACTTACGACAGAAGAAAAACAAGGAAAAAGAATGAAAAATCTACCTGCAATACCAAAAGGCTTCCAGAGTTCTCCTGGGCGCAGGAGGATGATCACCTGGATTGTAGTTTCGACAAAAGTCTAAGCAGCTAAAGATGAATTCCTCCTCGGCTTCTTCGTTGACATAAGTTCTGCCAATCTTGAGAATGCTTCCTAGAATAAGCGTACAGGTAACCATTGACATGATCATCAACCCTTCCTGCAAGAAAAGAGTGAGCTGAATTTTAGGTAGATTAGGAAATCTCACCACAACAGCCGTGAGGACTCCATACACTCCAAACAAGGCCTACTGCGAGAAACAATGAGTTGAGGAACCGCGACAAATAACTTCGAAACAATTAACCTTTGAAAACTTCATTTGTGGTTGGAACTGCGTAAGCGTGACGATAGCGAAGCCTGCAAAGAGCGCTGACAAGTTTGACACTGCCTTGAGAAGCTCCGATTTCTCTTCCACATCTCGACGATTCCTCTCCACAAATCTGCCAAAGAGTTGCTATAGACCAAAAGAATAAAACCAAACAAAGCACAGAGCTTGCCTTAGCCAAAGGCAGCGCGCATTCTCCAAATTCCTATACTCCAGATTCTCCTGCCTCCACCTGCGATCGATCCATCACTGCAAGAAATCCCTTGTTCTAGACCCTCACCACCGCTTGCTCGCGCGCAATTCGGCGTCGTCCTTCCTCACTCGGCGCTCCACACGCATCCACTCCACATCCTGCGATCGCGCCTCGTGAATGTGCGCCCGCCAGGCCGCGTCCTCCTCCCGCCACGCCCGGTTCATGCCGCTGTCCAGCGCCGCGAGGATGCCCTGCGCTGCGTCGCCCGCGCTCGCCATAGCTGGCAAGAACCCTAAACCTTTAAAAAAGTATTACACGCTGGCATTAAAATTTCCAAGAACCCTAAACCTTTAAGACAACTTTACACGCTCGCATTAAATCCCTTTTAAAACGTAAGGAGAAAAAGTATACAAAGGTTTATAGGTCTACCAATCAATCAACTGGGATTGGTACCATAATGCTATCATTTCTTGCACTTGCAAAGATCAGTTCTTCCAGCTCCCCTTCCTCCGAATCCACATGATCTAGAAAAACTCACAAAGAATGAATCAAAGATCTTACAACTTTGCAAAAGCTCGGCTTTTCATCGTGCTAACCTGGATCTTCGTCGAAGAGGATAGCTTTGCTGGTGCCACTGCTCTTGAAAACCTCCATCTTGATCACGCGATTGCCTCCAAACACCTCCAGATGCACGAGATCGCCAGTCTCGAGCTCTTGATCCTCCACAAACTGCCTCCATTCATGGCGCTTCACCATGAATCTCCTCCCGGAGCTGTGCACGCTCAGCGATTGGCAGCTCCCGCCATTGATCACGCGGTACTGCATCCCGATGTTGATGTGCGCGCGCACGAATCCTGGGGGCAAGTTCTAGAGCACACACAAGCAATCACAGAGAAGCCAAGGTTGAAGGAGAAAGATCATAGAATCCCAGGGGAAGATCGATACCAGAGTGAAGCTGGGCGACAAATGCGACCTGGTGATCTTGATGTCGATGCTGGGCTTGTCCGTGTCGCTGCAGATCGTCACGCTCGACGGCCTGCCATTCCCCTTTGCGCGTTTCCTGGCTGGCGGCGACGCACTGTCGTCATCTCCCGAGACTTTGGAGCTGGAGTCCAAGCTCGCCGCCGCCCGGTTCTTGGCACCGCCGCCGCCGCTCCTCCGCCTCTTCCTCCTCGGTGCTTTTTCCTTCTCCGCCTCTTCCTCTTCCTCGTACTCCTCCTCCTCCTCCTCGTCTCCCCCCGGGCGAAACCTTTGGAGAAGCTCCAGCTGCTCGTGCTGGCTATGGCGATCATCGTAATCGCCATCACCCTCCTCGTCATCGTCGCCCTCTTTCTCTTCCTCCGGGTCCTCTCCCTCGTCTACCTCTCGATGCTGCGCTTGGAGATGGCGATAGTTCGCGTCGGGATCGCCACCACCGTCGCCCACACTCTTCACTCGCAAATTCCAGCCATGCTCGCCTCCTCCATCTTTCTTCGTCAAGCTCTTCCTCCGAATCACAACGCTTGCTTTCACCTCTAGCTCTTCCTCCGCGCCGAGCGCCCGATCGAGACTATTTCCCATACAAACTCCACCTAAAAAGCCTGGTTGAAAAAACCAATGCGTCTACCTCACCACGAACCCTAAAAACCACCCCTCACACACTTGTCCCCCATACAAACACTTATATAATGTTTGAAAGTTTAACAATACAACAAACCAATGCTCTATGGAGCCCTCGGTTACAAAGAAAGTGATTTTCTGTAGGAACAGTGTCTCCAGAGAAGAAAGGGAAACGAAGAACGAAGAAAAAAAAGCACCAAGATGACCGGAAATTAATCTTAAGCCGCGACGCCTTCTGCTGGGGAAGATTCAGGCCCGGCTGCTGCTGCTGCTGTTGCTGTTGCTGTTGCTACTCCTGCTGCTGCTGGTGTTGCTGCTCCCGATGTTGCTGCTCCTGCCGAATCTGGACATGAAACTGAGCTAGCAACAAGCGTGTGAGTCAAGAGCGAAGTACAAAACCTGTTACTCCCGGCGAGTAGAGCTCAGCGCCGCCAGGTCCTGGAATGCCAAGAACATTAGCTCTAGAACACCTGAGAGAAGCAAGAGATCCAGCAAACCAGACAAGAGATCCGAGCAAACCAAACAAACAGATCTGAGCAAACCAGACAAACAGATCCGAGCACACCAGACAAAGAGAGCACACGGACCTGTGTTTGGGTAGGGAGGTGGAGACGCTGACGGCTCCGCTGGAGTGTACTGCGCGAGCGAGTGACCCTTTTCGATCCGGAGCTTGGACTTGCCCTCCATCTCGAAGTGCACAGTGTCGTTGAGCTGGAGATTGTGCTCGTGGACGATCTGGGCCCAGTGCTGCTTCTTAAACTTGAACCTCGTCTTGGTGATCTCCTCGATCTCCAGGGACTTGCCCTGCACGCCGTTTGAGATTTCGAAGAAGCTCCCGTGCATCGCAACGAACTCTGGCGGCACAGTCTGCGAGAGCAAGCAAGTCAGACATGGATAGATGGTAGAGAAAGCTCTAAGCTTCGAATCAAGCACAGAGAGAAAGAAGGTATCCATAGAGCAAACTCCAAGTCAGACATGGATGGATGGACAGGCTAAAACTAGAGAAAGCTCCAAGCCTCGAATCAAGCACAAATATCAGCAAGAAGAGAAAAAAAGCACAGAAAGGGAAAAGGAAGAAAAACAAGCTCACACAAACCACACAGGGGAACAAAGCAGGAGCAAGAAGAAAAAGGAAGAAACTAGCTCAAGAACACAAAAGGGAAGAGTGTGAGGACTTACCACATGGAAATTTGGAGAGAGGTGTGACTTTAGCACGCTCATGTCCAGGCCGGAGTTACTCCACTTCATACACGAAGTCTTCCTCCCAGCGTAGCGCCCCGTCCGCGGCGTCGCCCCTTCCTCCAGCGGCTGCTGCTGCTCGCTATCGCTCGAATTCGCCTCGTCCAGCGCCCCCACCTTCAAAATCTTGCGCGCTCGCATCGACCGGTCGTCGGCGCTCTTGCGCGCCCTGCTGTCGCCGTTGGGCACCGCGTACTTGGGCATTGCCTCCGCGGCGGGCGTCTGCTCGGCATTCCCATTCGCAGCGCCATTCGCCTGCTGCCCGCGGCCGCCGTGATCCACCTTCTTGATGCGCAGCGTCACCTCATACTCGTCGTCCCGGAATACCTTCTCGAGATTGTTGCCCATCTCCGCCAAGAATCGCCGCCGCCGCCGCCGCCGCGAGATCCACAGCTCCTCCTTCTCCCGCCGAATCGAGGAGCGCGCTCACATTCTCTCCAAAATCCCGCTCCAGATACCCCAATAAGAGAACCCCTGAGCCCTAAAACTCTGCTTCCATTTCTTGATAAAGACGATTCCATGGGATATTCCCCCACCACGTTATTTCCCTGTGTAAGTAATTGATTGCGCAAGAACAAGGCCGTGTTCTTCCTTTCTCCGCTCGCTACTAAAACGTATCACTGTGGTCTCTGTTATTTTTCTTCCGCGATGGAATGGATCGATCGAGAGAGCGCGAGCGCTCCTCCATTCTTTTTTGCTGGTTTATAAAATCTCCCACTCCGAGTCTGATTCTTCCTTGGGATTTGTCACGGCGGTAGCGCTGCTGTCCCAGTTTTCCACGATGCCAGAGCTTTTCTTGTACTCGTCCGTGATGTACCACTGAGCAACTTGGTCGCCGGCTTCCACCACGGTATCGCTCTCCTCGGCCTGGGAGCAATCGAAAACATGAATAACACGAGAAGCAAATGATTGGAGAACCTGTGATCCGGAAGAAGTTGTTTGGGCTTGGGTCTCCGCGAGCTCTTCGATCTCGGGCGCTTCAATCTCGGGACCACGCGTTTGATGGAGCTGAGCATCACCTCCTGACAAAGCAAATCCATTTAGCCACACAAGCTAGTAATCCAAAAAACTTGGAAAGCTTTCCGTACCTTGCGAAACTCCTCCTGTTTCTGCCTGTGTTTGCGAATCCTCTTGCTTGACAGCGGCTTTTTTCTTGCTCGCCTCGCATCTACACTGGCACTTGTCGACGTGCTTGCACTCGTCCTCGGCTGGAAGCAAGTCACGGATGAGCTCCGAGCACACCTTTCTCATGGTTGCTCCAGCCGTCGATACTTGGGTCTCGAAGTACTTCCCAGCCTCCTGGAATCGCAAAACATAACAGAGCTTGGAGCTTAGACTTGGAAACAAACGCTTAGACTTAGAAAGAGAGAGAAAGAAAGGAAAAAAAAAAGAGGCTCTAGCTCCAGTACTCTAGAGCCTATCTCTTTGAGAAAAATCCTCTCACCTGGAAAAGGAGCGAAGGGTTCTTGTCAGCCTCCACGCAAATGGCCTCGATCTTCATATACATCCGGTCCATGAAAGATGCCTCCTTGGATGGAGCTAGAGTCTCATCGGCTTCGGGCTTTTGATACATTCTTCCTCCAATCGCATTCCCTACGAAGCCAGGAGGAGAGATTCAGCCATCGCAGCACTATTCAAGCGGCAAAGACGACCCTAGAGGAGAAAGGACCAAAAACTGGGAGGAATCCATCGCGCGAGCGCCAAAACCGAGAAAAGAATCCGTAATATCGCTAGGGGAAGGCTCTCCAGGATCATCGCGGGGACGATCGAGGCCAAAAAACAAGACGATCGTTACCTGTTTGCGAGCTCCTCCTGCGCCAATCCTCGCCTGGATTGCGAGAGCTAGAAGAAATCGCGCAGGATCAGGGCAGCGGCATACGCACCGCTCGTGGCTCCCAAATTTCCACGATCGCTTTGGCGAAGAGAAGAACTTTCAGGCGGCCGAGAATTATCCCCGGCGCCCGTCAATGTGCCCGTCGCGGCCTCTGACGTGCTGACGGGCGGCCGTCATGACACTGGACTGGCGTACACGTGTTGGAAATGTGCCGTACGCCACTGGGCCGGGTGGCCAAAATTCCCTTCCAAGCTATGGAGATGTTTGGATAAACCCTAGTGAGCTCTAGGGTTCTTCGCGAGCGCTCGGCGATGGATAAGATTTTCGGCCCAGCGTATCGCGGCGATCCTGGCGTCCCGCATTCCGGGAAGGAGAATTTCGAGAACATCTTCATGGCATCGGTGGGATTCACGGTCTACACTTGGTTCTTCCCATACTACTGGGAGCAGTCGCATTTCCTGTACAAGTGAGTGGCCATTTCATCTTCTCTCCATTCCAGATTCATTCGTTTCGCAGCTTTCACGACATCGCGATGTGCGCCGAGCATCACCAGTGGAGGAAAGCAATGCAGAAGGGCGAGCGCTACGAATTCAAGGTAAGACCTCTTGTGCTTCTCTCAAATCTCTCACTTTCTTGTTTTCTTTTGTTCTTCCCAGTGGAACAAGTTCATGAAGCCAAAGGAGCGACGCTCTTACTACTACCGCTGGAGAGATTACTACCCCTGAAAGGAAAGAAGAGCGTTTCTCTGGATAACTTCATGGAAAAGTTCAAGCTCAATCACAGCAAAGAACTTCCAGGTCCTGTTTTGTTTTTCCTTTTTCAGTTCTTTCAATTGCAGACAACGGGAAGCTTTCTAAGTGTTTATAAGTCTCCATAGCGACGACCATCGTCTTGTTCCTGGAAGCTACTCCCATTCCCGACGAAACCATTTTGGAGAGCAGGATAAACTCCATGTCCATACAACTCTGGCCTCAGGTATGGAAACTGGAATGGACAATCAGTCGAGTACTGACTTTGCTGTGTGTAGAAATCCAGCTGCTGATCGCCGGGTGGCGTCCAGTCATACGAATCGATGGAGCTCCAGGCAAAACCACAGTCATAAATCGCAGCCTCGGCCAGCTGCTTGTGCTGGAAGTTATCAGCCTTTTGGAGCTCTGGAGAACAAGGGAAGAACTTAGCAACGAAAGCGAGGAAAGAGAACAACTTACCGCCAGCTCCATGAGCAAAGTGGCACTTACCACCGAACGAGCAGCGGCCGGAGCTCTCCCACTGGTTGCAAATCCGGGTCTTCCAGTTCGGTGGCCGGATGGAGCTGTGATCGATGCTGCTACATGACGATGACGGTGCCTCGTCGTGGAGAAACGTGCAGCGATCAGCGTAGGGGCAGCTTCCTTCTCGGAAGAACTTACAGGGCCGGGTCTTGAAGCTCTGGGAATGAACTCCAGCAGCTGGATCGAGTGGAAACGATGGTCCTGCGGCGACGAGATCAGCCGCTGGCCTGCGAAGCTCCTCCACTCCGTGAGCAAAGTTACACCTCGCCTCGAAGGGGCAGCTCCCAGCTATGAACTTACTGCACAGCTTGGTCTTGTAGAAGACCTTTGCCTTGCTTGAATCCATCGCCATCGAGGAGGAAGTTTGATGATCAACGAATTCATACCACGAGCTTTCCATCATCGTTCTCTGCGAGCTCGCTGTGATAGAATCATCACCCAGGAGCTTCTCTCCATGATCTTCCTCGCGCAATTCCTCCATCTCATCTTCCAATCGATCGCGAACAAAGGCCAACCACCAAATTTTCGTTTCGGCATGAAAAACCGTCAAGTATATTCCGTCATCGTCAAGCACAGAGGGTAAAAAAGTACTAAAAAATATTCACTGGAGGAGAGGAAGAAAAAAGAAAAAATGAAACAACAAATGTGACACCGATCATCGAATCTACGTAAATTTTCCCTTCTTTTCTCCTTCGTTGCAAATTTTTTCCTCCCTAGCAGCAGCCACCCTTCTGGTTGAGAGGTTGCCCCTTGTTGAGACTGACGTTGTTGGGCTTGTTGCTGTTCATCGCCGGTTGGCTCGCCATCCTGGAAACAATCACGAATTCTTCCGCTTAGATCGTGATCCCTTTGATCTTTTCTACATACCTGTTCTTGATCTCCGCAGCCATGGTCATGAATGCCTGCTCTACGTTGGTCGCATTCTTGGCACTGGTTTCTAGGAACGGGATTCCTATCTCGTCTGCGAAAGCCTGGAAGTAGAAGCCTTTTAAGATCTTGTCTTGCAAAAGGAAGAATAGAAAGGCACAAGAAAAGTAAACAACTTGCCTTGGCAGTCTGGGTGTCGACGACCTTCTTGGCCGTGAGATCGGCCTTGTTACCGACGAGGAGCTTGTTCACATTCTCGCTCGCGTAGCGATCGATCTCGTTCAGCCACTGCTTGACGTTGTTAAAGCTTTCCTGGTCAGTCACGTCGTACACGACCTGCGCGAACGAGCAAACGTGTCAGGGAATTACCATCGTGTGGAAAAACTATAGGCCAGCTTACGATAATCCCGTGAGCGCCACGATAGTAACTGCTGGTGATGGTCCGGAAGCGCTCTTGCCCAGCGGTGTCCCACTGTTGTTCGCAATTGAAAAAGAAATAGTTAGAACTATACAAAACCTTTCCAACTGTCTTACAATTTGGAGCTTGATGGTCTTTCCTTCCAGCTCCACTGTGCGAATTTTCTGTAACAAGGAAGCCAAGCCGTCAGCGAGAGGACTGACACGGCTAGCGAATGCGTGATACTTACAAAATCCACCCCGATAGTGCTGATGTAGCTCTCAAGGTAAGAATCGTCCTACAAACAAGCAAAAGAAAAAGAAAATTCATCAATTCATCTCAATCACAGCATGCAAAATGTAGAGCCGCTTACCGCGAATCGCAGCAACAGGCACGATTTTCCCACGCCGGAGTCGCCAATTAGCAAGAGTTTGAAGAGGTAGTCACTGCAAAGGCCAGGCGCCAGGGAGGAGAGAGGTCAATGACTGCCGAATCTAAACCCTAAAAAACAGCTGCGCCGGGGATGGAAAGAGGGCGCTTACTACTCGGGATTCATAGCTGCCGCTGCCGCCTTCTTCTCAGCTCCAAGCTCCCCAAAATCCCCGAAATCCCTGCAAAAGACCTGTGGATCTCGCGGCGCCCTGGCTGGAGCAGTCCCTTAGGTCGTGGATCGAAAGCGCCGCAGCTAGATCTGACCCAGCTCGCGATGGCGCGCGCACACCGCTTTCCCTTCTTTCCTGGCGGATTCGGAACAACAGGGCAACTTGTGAGGCCTGTTAAATATACATCGCAAACCCCAACTAATCCAGGCCGTCCAGGCCCCGCCATCCAACGGCATGCACTAGCACACGCGGGCAAAGGGCATATGCGGTAAGACGTCGCAAACGACCGTAATGTAAGTATCGCTGCCGCTAATCCGAGGCCATCCAACCGCCCCAAGCAGCGAGCGTGGGCTTTGCACCACCGTCGGATCTCATCTTCCTACATTTATGGTGTTTCTGGTTTTGGTATTACAACAAAAGAGTTCTTCTGGCGAGCCTCGGCCATTTAAAAAAAAATTGAGGAGAATGTTAGTCACGGCTTAAACAATCACACGTACTTTTCATGGAGTGAATTGCTCTAAATCCATCGATGGTAGCACGGAAGCATGCTGCTGGACGCTTCTTATCTCTCGGAGTAGAGCTTTGGCCTCCTCTTTAGCCTGTGGAGAACGAGAACTTCCTCTTAGAACCAACACGAAGAAGTATCAAAGAGAGAACTTACCGGGCCGCCATAGTCGAGGAGTCTCATACAGTACATCTCACTGTCGTCTAGAAATCCCTGGTTCTTGGAGTGCGTCGCCAGGAAGAGCAACGCATCCACCACGTCCTGTCCTTCACTTTGATCCGCCTCGAGCCTCTCGAGATTTTTCTTGTAGTAGTAAGAGGCCTGGTCCGCCTGTCCAAGCTGGCTGTGTAGCTTCGCAAGCTTGTTGAGCGCTATGCCTTCACGATCGTTGTTGTTCACGGCCCGGCGGTAGCACCGGATAGCGGCATCAAACATCTGGAGCTGCTCGTTCTCGTAGCACTGTCCCATGGCACACCACATCCGAGCGTCGTGAGGACGGAGCTGCGCGGCACGCCGGTAGTAGTAGAGCGCGTAGAACGGCATGATGAGAAGCTCGTAAGTTTGTCCCAGGCCATACCACGCGCGGTAGTCTCTGGGATTGATATCCACAGCTCTGCGGTACGCGTCGATGGCTGCCGGAGTGTTCTTCATTTCCACGTACTCGTGACCCATGAGAGTCCACGCTGATAAGTACTTCCGGTTGAGCTTGAGAGCTCTCTTGAAGTAGAGCACCGCCTTCTCGTGCTGGGCTTTCAAGCTGTAGTAGTTCCCGATGATGCAGCACGTTTCGGGCCGATACTTGTCCGTTAGCACCGCCTTGTGAGCAAGATGGCTCAGAGCTGCGAAGCACTCTTTGACGTAGAGAATGTTGGAGTACATGTCCATGCCTTCGATGCGATACGGGTCCGTCCGGAGGAGCTCCTCGAACAGCCCCTCGGCTTCGTCAAACTCTCGGAGGTTGTAGTGTGCTGTGGCTGTCTGCGCGAGAACGTAGTCACTGACTGGAAACATCGCGTGGAGCGAGCGGTAGCACGCCAGGCCTTCGGAGTTCTTCTGGAGATCCAAGTAGACGCTGGCTATGAAGAAGTCACGCATCCAATGGTCCTCGAGTCGCAACGTTGGTAGGATCTCTGGGTCTGTGCATAGAGCTTGGAGCTCCAGCCATGCGCTCCAGTTCCAAGGATATGTGTTGACGGATGCACAGAGAACGGCCCTAGCCTCCGACTTTCGGTCCCTTTCATGGAGGACCACCCCGTAGAGATAGTTTCCAAACGCATCAAGAGTTCCTTTTTCACTGTGTGATGTCAGCTCCTGTTCTAATCCGGCTAGCTCGGGATTTACAGCATCACTCCTTCCCAAAGGACCACCCAGCTCGATAATCTCCTCTTCTTTCCTTTTCTCCCCGGCCTGAAATCGAAGAAGCAAAGATGAAAGCGATTAAGTTTCGTAGACCAAAAGAGAAGAAAGTCTAGTCACACTAGAGTTTTTCTACTAGAACGAAAAAATGGAGCTAGCTTACCAGGTAAGTCGCGTAACATCTTAGAAAAAAAGATTTCTTGCCAGTAGCACCCCTCAAAGCGTGTGCTGCTCTTCGATACTCCCGCATATCAAAGAATGCCTTTGCGAGTAGAAACACGTCTCCATCGCCGCCGTCCTCCTCGTCGGGCACTGGCGCTGGACCTACATTCTCACGATCCTCCGGAAGCCCGACCAGTTGCTCGGCAGCCCTATTCACGCCCGCTAAACAGAGCTAGTTCAATAGCGAAGAATACAGCAGCGAGCGCTCAAAGAAAACGCGATCGCAAAAACATCGAGAATCGAGAGTTAGAACACGCACCATTTCGCGGCTGTGTAGAGTCCTCTGTCGCGGAGCTCGCGAATCGCCCGGCGGAGCTGGAGCCTGTGAGACGCGCCTGCCGCCATAGCGCAGCAGCAGCACTTCTCAGAACTAGGGCATCGTCTAAACCCTGAGAATGTTTTAGCCAATCCAACGGCTCACAACTGGTAGCTATCCAACGGCTGCGATCTTGCACACCGGGAAATTTTGAATAGATCGACGGTTGAGTTTGCTCTAGGTTCCAATATAGAAAAATTTCCTCGCTTTAGGGTTTTTGCGCGGAGGGGGGAGGGCCATGGCTGCTGTGAGATCGATTTGTCGGCTTGGAGCTGCGATCCAGGTAGAGATTTACCCAGCTCTAGTGAAGCGCCTAAATTTCTGGGACAGGGCTGGCATAGAAATCTCATAGCAAAAATTCCAGTTCCCAAGCTTGGTAAGCGTCCTACATTTTTTCTTCTCTTGGAGTAATCGAGGAGATTTTCTCTTTTCCAACAGCGTCGGAGTTTAAGCCTCCTCCTGTGAACGAATCTGGAGAAACAAACGCCAGGCCTGGATGGCTTCGTGTTACTGTGACCGCGGCTTTTCTTGGATACATGAGCATGAACGCTATTCCAATAATTGGTATGTGAAAAAAAAACTTGCTTTGTTCTTCCATAGCTTCTTAACGAACGGGAACTTTGTTTTTCTAGCCGAGGGTACTGTGAAACATCCGGTGCTCTTGCTCAAAGTGAAAGATCCCTTCTTCCAGCGAAGTGGTGCTTCCAGATTGATTTATCTCACTCTTACCGGTAAGTTCTCGCTTGTAAATCAAGCTCTTGATATTCATGCGTGTTTGCTTCTTTTTTAGATGGAAGGAAGCAGGCAGCAGTGAAATACGGAGCCATCGGATTGCTCCTGGAAATGCTTGAGTCGGCCACCGATGACAAAACACGCATCGCTGCTCTCAAAGCAATGAACGCCCTTGCTCAATGCGGTACTTTTTACACTTTTCCTTGTTCTCTCTCTCAAATCCCCTACTTGTTCTTGGACAGATTTGGCGATCAAGGTGCTTCACAGGCGAGAAGGAGGTGCTGCTCTCGAAAAGATGGCCGAGTCTACTGCCAACCTCGAAATCCTGTCGCTTATTACTTCCATTCAAGACAAGATGAGGAGGCCGCTTGTGCTGGACGAAGAGGACGACCTTTTAGTGGCTACTCCGGCACTGGCTATGTCGTAAGCAGCAACAGCGATGCACGAGTCGAGAGCTCGGTGCAAATAAAACCCGGGCTTGTGAAGAACAAAGAAAACTTGATATGAACTTCGTGTTTTGTGAATGTAAAAAACCATTTTGTGGACAGGATCATCTCTCGCTCAAGTCGAGCTTTGCTCTTGAGTGAGCGATTGAAGAAAAGAATAGAAAGAAGCTAGCTAGACTTTAGCTCGAGCTACGATCTCACAGAACTTTGGAGCTTGCATTTGATCTCGGCGAAG